TTAAATTATAAAACAAACACACACAAAATAATCAAAATATTGAATTTGACACACATAAATATTCATGATAGTTTGGTGCTACTGGGCCTCAAATATCGAGCCTGGAACCCATTAAGAATTTAAATTATAAAACAAACACACACAAAATGATCAAAATATTGAATTTGACACATATAAATATTATGATAGTTTGGTGCTACTGGGCCTCAAATATCGAGTCTGGAACCCAATAAGTATATATTTTTAAGAAATTAAATTATAAAACAAACACACAAAATAATCAAAATATTAAATTTGACACACATAAATATTCATGATAGTTTGGTGCTACTGAGCCTCAAATATCGAGCCTGGAACTCATTAAGAATTTAAATTATAAAACAAACACACACAAAATAATCAAAATATTGAATTTGACACACATAAATATTCATGATAGTTTGGTGCTACTGGGCCTCAAATATCGAGCTTGGAACCCATTAAGAATTTAAATTATAAAACATACACAAAATAATCAAAAATATTGAATTTGACACACGTAAATAGTCATGATAGTTTGGTGCTACTGGGCCTCAAATATCGAGCCTGGAACCCATTAAGAATTTAAATTATAAAACACACACAAAATAATCAAAAATATTGAATTTGACACTCATAAATATTCATGATAGTTTGGTACTACTGAGCCTCAAATATCGAGTCTGGAACTCAATTGGTATATATATTTTGTTCAATTAAATAATAAACATACAATTAATGTTGTTGAATTTACAGTTGACGACATGGACACGCCGCCTATACATCCCGGCCCTTACTCTCGTGAGCTATTAGTGCTTCAGGGCGATCATAGGTCCGCCCATATATGGAAGGGAGAGTTACTGTGCCAGACTCTCTGCGCTAGGAGAGTGGACGACCTGTGGGATTTTCTGAGGCACTGAGATCTCCGGGTGGCCTGCATGAGGCCCCTGCTGATTATGCTGCTGCCGATATGCCGGGTGGCCTGCATGAGGCGGACATGCCGTCGTACAACCTTGGGATGGATCTCACTCTAGGGACTTTGCAGGTGACCCCGTCAGGTCAATTATTGATCACGGGCACAGACCTTTCTAGAGTGGATTGGGATACATACTTTCCAGGCCCGTCTACTGTTGCTGAGGATAGGCCAACCCGAGATTTACATAGTGGGCGCCGGCTGAGTTATGGTTCGTCGTCACAGGCGCAGGTATGGTTTTCATAGTATTGAATTAGAATTTGTTTTTATTTTCCATAACTTTGTTAATTTCCTTTTTAAGGCTGAACGCGAAGTTGACATTGCTGCGACATATGCTTACATTCAGGAGCCCGGCGAGATAGTGGTACGACAATTTAAATTGTTGTGACTTATTTTATACTTTGATATACTCAGCTTTTTATTCTTATGTAGGTTTCTACTGGACTGACGGCCCCTTCTACTGATCCTGTCAGCACCAAAGATGATCATGCAGTGGCGCATCCGGCTATAAGGAGGCGATTTGTTGATGACGATCCCGATAG